ACTCGTGAAAAGTAAAAATTTTATAATGAACTCGTAAAAGATGAAAACTTTCACTAAACTCGAGAAAACTTTCATTAAACGTGAGAAATGAAAGATTTAACGTGAAAATTGAAATTTTTCACGCAAAAATTTTGTTTAACATAGCAGCAAAATAATGTTAACTGACATTTTAGTGATGTCTTATTGACATTAAAGACATTATTAAAGCATTATTTAATATCATTAAGACGTCTAACAACACAGATGTGCAGGAAACGTCCAAAGTACGTCCTGAGGACGTTTCTTCGTCTTCAGGACGACCCTGGGATGTCTTTAGGAGATTTTGTGCTGTCTGAGCATTTTACTATTTAGAGTCAACGGGTGTTTATGTTAAATCTAATGGCTCCTGCACACAGGACGCGGTAATGCTTGCCGCGCGGCGAAAGTCCGCGCGACAGCCAATCAATATGTTGTTTTTCCATAAGAGCTAGAAGGTTATTACGGAAAGCAGCATATTGATTGGTTATCGCGCGAACTTCCGCCGCGCGCCAAACATTACAGCGTCCTATGTGCAGGAGCCATTAGAGTTATGGCTCCTGCACACAGTACGCGGTAATGCTTGCCGCGCGGCGGAAGTCCGCGCGACAGCCAATCAATATGTTGTTTTTCCGTAAAAGGTTATTACGGAAAGCAGCATATTGATTGGCTGTCACGCGAACTTCTGCCGCGCGGCAAACATTAACGCGTCCTATGTGCAGGAGCCATTAACTAGAGTAGCATAGAGGATAATATGAGCATCAGGTAGTTGAATTTCAAAAAATGTTAGTTATTAATAAGTTTAATCTCATATAGTATGTTTATACCGAACGATTAATACGCGTATCAATTAGTAACTTTATATCTAATTATTTTAATTTTGGCGATGCAATATATTCAATTAATACGATACGTGTTTCTAATCAATATTGCACTACTTCAATATGACGTTGTTTGTATATATCGCCGAAATCAAGATAATTTAACGTAAAATTACTAATTGGTACGCGTATTAAACGTTCGGTATAAATATACTATATGAGTTAAACTTATTAATAACTAATATTTTTTGAAAATCAACTACCTGATGCTCACGTTATCCGCTACGCTACTCTAGCTAACTCTAAAGCCCATTCTACAATTGCGTGAACGTGGTTGTAAGTGGTTGTAAGTGATTACGACAACCAATCAGAATAAAGCAATCAGTGAATAAAACATTCGAATTGGTTGACTCTTACGTTCACGACTACGCTTACCCAATTGTAGAAGGGGCTTAACTAACTCTACTCGAGTATCGGAAAGCAGTATTGAGTTGTCTTGAACCATGAAGATACTAGTTGGTTGTGCCTATTACATTTTTCGACCTTAGTAGAACTAACTAGTACTCGATTTAACATAAATACCCAATGTAAACTATATAAGCCAAAAGTAACCTAAGTAAGACAAATATTACAATATATTCAAGACAACACGAATTTGCAAGGGATATCTTTTGAATTTTGTTTAGCATGTTTTTAAGACGTCTTTAGAACGTCCCTTGGAAGTCTGTTTGTCTGGGATTACTTTAGGATAAATTATGAAAAGATAAAATATTCTATTTATATTAAAATTATAAATTTGCAGATAATATATATTTCATATAAAACAATACATAAAATACATGCAATAAATACATAAAATAAACTTACATTTTACTTACTGCATACAATTTATTATATATTACACTTTAACTTTCTGATGCATACGTATCTTAACTTTACAAACTTCGTCGGTATGCTTTCACTGCCTATACGTCATCACGCTTCAATTGGCTTTCATTGTTGATTTTTAATGGACGTAGGATTCTTATGTCAAATGCCAATTGTCGTATAACCATAAAAATTAAAGTCACTATAAGAAATTCTACTCACTTTGGCTGCGTTCCGAAATGCACTGCCAGTACTGAAAATCTATAGTTTATGTTACGTATATTATAGAGTTTCAGTACTGGCAGTGAATTTCGAAACGCAGCCTTTGTACATAATATGCGAGCGTAGTATTACATTATTTTTCACATTTAAATCACATCGCTTGATGCTTAAAAATTTTTATGGAGACTTACACAATTTACATATAAAGAAGAACATCTGCGAGCAAACTGAAAGTTCACGTGAAATATTTCACGTTTTGAGAATTCACCTTTCACGGTTAACGTTCGTCTCATTTATTAAATTTACTCATATTATATTATTATATTATATTATAACTATAAATTTAAGTTGTATAATGCTTATTAATGTGTTATATATTACATTGTGTATACTGTAATTACATTTTAATTTTAATAATCTATATTACATAAATATTGTTTTCCACATTTTCATTGTTTACTTTTCATGTGAAATAACTTATAGTGAAAAGTGAAAAATGAAAATAAAGTTCACGTGAAAGATTCATGATCGCTACCCTGAGTACGGGTGCTATTTTACGTGTCGTACGACAAGCTTTTTGGATTGGTTGACGAATAGAGTATTTCTAGGTTCTCTGTTCGTCAACCAATGAACGTATCCAAAAAGCTTGTCGTACGACACGTGAAATATCAACCTACGGATGTGTAATGTTGTGTCAACGATTACGACAATTGGAATGCAACTTGTGTCGCCGTATGCATGAAAGTGTCTAGGGATATTGCCATTGGAAAACACCCATAGACAATGCATATCAACGGCGATGCATTCAATCGATACAATAAGTCTTCTTGATCAGTATTATACCAGCTTAATATACCGTTGTTTATATATATCGTCGATATTGAGATTATCTAATAGAAAGTTACTATTTAGTATACGTATGAAATGCACGATGTAAATCAAGCCATTGGCTTGGATTACATCGTACTATTTAGTACGCGTACTTGATATGCGTACTAAATAGTAACTTTCTATTAGATAATCTTAATATCGACGATATATATAAACAACGGTATATTAAGCTGGTATCATTAACAAAACGTATTGTATTGATTGAATGCGTTATCGTTGATATTCATTATCGATATTAAGATCATCTAATAGAAAGTTACTATGTATGCGTATCAAGTAAGTAATAGCGAATTCGGTTGCTTGCACTAGTGTGCACTGAGTGCGCACTAAGGTTTGTTCATAGTATGTTATTATATTTAAAGATTGTCTTAAATAATTCTCAAATAAATTCTCAAATATTTTTAACCATAATATAATATGTATAACATCCGTACGAATCATTTTATTAGTTAAAATGTTTTTAAATATGTATTTAATACACGATCTTAAATATAAGAGTGTACTATAAACAAGCCTTAATGCGCACTCAGTGCGCACTAGTGCAAGCTACCGAATTCGCTATAAGTTAGTATGCGTATCAAGTGCAC